TGTAGTCCCAGCTACTCAGGAGGCCTAGGTGGGAGGATTGCTTGAGGCCAGGAGCTGGAGACCAGCCTGAGCAAGAGCGAGACCCTATCTCTACAAAAAAGTAGAAAAATTAGCTGGGTGTGGTGTTGCACACCTTAGTCCCAGCTACTCAGAAGGCTTAGGCAGGAGAATCACTTGAGCCTAGGAGTGTGAGGTTGCAGTGAGCTATGATGATGGCACTTACTGTACTCTAGCAGGGGTGACAAAGCAAGATTCTGTCTCCCCCCAAAAAAAGTACATTTAAAAAGAAGCACACTTGCATGTGACAAAAGTCATTACACTTACGAGATCCCTTGGTGTTTAGTGATTTTTAATATATGCCTTAAATTCATAGGTGCTTTTATTTTGTAAGGACTTCAATATGTATTAGCTCATTTGTCCTTGGGATGTAAGAAAGGTCAAGAATTGGTGAAATACTGATTTTAGAAATGAGATAATTCCCTGAAATCAGTGATAAATTAAGCTTTTAATGATATTCTTTAGATAGTTCTTTGAATCTCTTTTGGTCTATAGGTCTAGGAGGCTGAGTGTGTGGAGTAGCATTTGTTACATTTGTTTTTATTTTCTTAAACAAGTAATCTGGGAAGTAGTATTTTTGTTGTGTTTGTTTTATTAGCTGAGAGTATTTGTAATTACGGGTCAGAAGCTAGAATAATGTAAAATTTTCAAGCTGATTGGGATTTTGTAAGCCAAACCACATTTCGAAATTGATTCCTGATTGAGCTACCTTTTATGACCCTGTAGTTCTTGTACCTTGATTAGAAAAGTTATTTGGTAGTCTTTTTTTTAAAAAAATGAGAATTTAGGGTAGGATTTCGATATGTTAAGTATATATTTCACGCAATTATTTTTTATTATGATTTAGTATCTATCCTTCTGTCCCTCCTTGAGAGCAGTTATCTAGGAATAAGTAAAGGCAGTTAAAAAGTTGTGTTGTCTTACACATTTTCTGTTACTAGAAATAATTGATTGATGTTATCTAGCTTGTTTTATTTAGTACAGTATTACTTTAGTACATATATTTCCATATTTCTTCTTCTTTTTTTTTTCTAAAATAAAGATTATGGAAGTGAGAAAAACCAACATAATACGTTTGTTTTGGATTCCATCTGAGAACTACACTCAGTAGTGCACAGGCCCTAAAGCAGTAGTTTTATTTAGTTTATATATTTGGATCATTGTTTTTTTTGGCTCAGAGAAAAGGTAAACTACTTTTTTCAAATGACATTTGGAATTCTAATAATGCAGACCTGTATGCCTGTTAGTGTATTGGTTGGTGTTTACAGTTGTTTTACTTTGGTGTTGTTGAATACCGTGTATTCGGTCTAATTTATAATATGTTTTTGTAGAATTTTCAAAAATAACTACTAAGCTGTTTTTTTAGGCATGTTCAATGTGTTTACAACAATTAGTATGAAGAAAACTGTACTTGAGCATCATAATTCTAAAGGGAAAGTAAAATTGTTTGAATTTTATACCCTGAAATATAATTGTATTAAGTGAACAAATTATTTTTTCCAGGCAGACTCCAGGTTAAAAGCGCTTAATGCAACATTCAGAGTGAAAAACCCAGACAAGTAAGGTTTTGTTTTAATAACAGTTACAATGTTGTTTTGAATGATGCCTCTCAATCTATTTAATTTTTCATTTCTGAATGTATGCACTTTATTTGCTAAATATTTAAAATAGTAATTCACATTTAGTGAAATATTTTTAAAGTCTAAAACTGATCTTGAAATTTGGTAAGTTAATTGGATTTAAAGTTGTAAGTAACTGAAGTTTTAGAAATTTAAACCACTGCTTTTTTCTAGGAGGATTTATTGAATGTTGTTGAAGAT